GCAGGAAATTCCAGCATTTTTTGCCAAATAAGTGACCTGATTCTTCAGAGAACTGAAAAAAAATCCCTAAAGCTCCATTACCTCGCGTTATAGATATTGCCTACAGGAGTTTTCTTATTCCTGTGTGTATCTGAGTTGCATTCAAAAAAAAAAAAGCTATAAATATACACTTCTCCTGTACCAGAATATTCAAATATATCATTATCTTCCTTTGCTGATGGCAGTGTCTCTGTTCTGGTTTTCACAATCTGCCTGGCTTAGATTATTTGCAATCGAATAAACATATATTACTTGGTGTAATGCTTGACAAGGATATGGTCATATTATGCTACTTTGGATAGATTAGATCATACAGCTGATTTAAATTCTGACTCCATAATTGCATGGAATTCATATCCCTCAGTGGTGGAAATAACTAGTAAAACTGGTCTCAATGCTAGAAATTTTCAGTGCTGAAGCATGTGAGTCTACAGGTGATTTTTCCTTAGAAGATGATTGCGCTGCCTTAAACTAAGAAACCAGTGTTTAAAAGAAGTAATGGAAACTACTATCTTTTGTCTCCAATATTACTTTTTTGTTGTTGGAATAATGCAGAAAATCATAGTAAACATGTTTTAGGTATTTAAATAACTAATTTCTGATCTTACACCACAATATTTCATTGGATAGAAATATTTGGGTAGAAATGCCAGAGCAGTCTGATAATATGAGAAATTGTCATATTTCGACACTAGCCAAAAGTTCGATCTAATGCCATGGGTATTGCCCATTTCCCATCTTTGCTCTCTATATCCTGTAAATATGCAGCAATTTCTCACTATATAAAAATGTAGTTCTATGTGCTTAACTTAATCGGTAGGAATTGCAAGGTTTTTATTGAGTAGACTTGCTAATTCATTTTATAGTCTATTAATAAAAGTTTCCACTTTGAAAGGTTTTCACAAGAAGACGATTTTTATGTGAAGGTCTAATTTTATTAGTCATTACTTGGAACTAGTTTTAATATCCAGCACAGCTGAATTCCAAGTATTTGGTCTATTTTTTTCTGGAAAGTTTCTAACAGAAAACCTGAAATAATTTATAACATACAGGGCTAAGCAATTAGCTTCCCAACCCATATGGCTCAAACCATATAGTTCTAAGCCTTTTGCCCATGAAGATCAAATGTTTGATTGCATGTCTTATATATGAAATCAGAAAATAAGGAAGAACTGAGATTTTGTGACCGTCTCACTTTTGTTTTACTTATATTTTCATTCTGCATACATGAATGCAAAAGACCAGGCCCTGTTCTGCTCCTAAATACAGTGGCCCAAAATACAAGGTTCCATGTGTTATCTTTAAATAGTGCTAGTGTTAAGCTTTATTTATGCAATATCCTTAATTGCCTGGTCTTATTTAAGTAGCATATCTTTAATAGTTTTTTAATAAATTTACCATCACAACTATGCCCTGGGGGAAAAAAAAGGTGGATATTTCAGGTCCAAAGAGCCCCAGCTGTATTGACATGCTCGTTCCAGTACAGACCCTCTGCTCTCTTGGTTCTTGGGAGTCAGACTGGGCTCAAGAGCAGTAGAACTGGCCTCACCTTTAGTAGATTGTAGCCATTAGCCATTTTTTTTTCCTAAATGGGTAGAAATTGGTCTAATTCTGCCTTATCTCATATCTCTCACCACTGCCTTGACCAGGCATGGCTGTTGGAGAGGACTCCTGAGAACTTTCTTTCTAGTCACCTCCCACCATCAAACTGCATGGATTACGTTTTTGAGGTTATGCTAAAAAAAAAAAAAAACAGTGTATGTCTGAATAGTATGTGAATTTCTTGTTATGTCAATTAATCTTTTGAGCTACATCAGCCAAATCAATGGAAAAAGATTGTAAGAGACCTTTCGTTTGGGAATCTTTCTGCATTGCCATTGAAATATTGTAGATAATTTTTTAATACTTACGTTCCCACTTGAAATCACTAGAAAGTGTTTTTGGCATCCTAATGAACTTACGATTTGCGTGGCAACTAAAGCAATGTCTGTGCAGTGTTTTCAGTGAAACAGGCACAAATAGGAGGACATCAGTCAGCAAACCATGACGATCAGTTGCTGATTCTTAACCAGAAGCTAAGAAATGCAGAATAGGGTTTGTACATCCCCAGGTGTGTTGCAGAGCAGGCTAATTCTGCCTGCACATTCTCCTCAGCAAGCCAGGGGAAGTCAAACAAGTAATGGGAGAAAAGAGGAGGATCCATAAAACTAACTGCAGTAGCTCAGTGGGTATCATATCATTATGGGTAAGGAATAATTTTTTAAATCTCAAAAGGCAATCAGCGAAGACTGGTAATTTAATCATCATCATCATGTGGATACCCCTTACTTAGGCTTGATTCTCATCTTCTGCAGTTAATACTTTTACACTGAAATCAGAGCAACTACAGCTGGGGAGGATGGGCAAAGGTAGGAGGAGATCAGGGGAATGAGGATAAAGGAGAGGGGCAAGAATCCAGGAGTTTGGATTGAGATGATGCCTGGGGTTATGGCAAGGGGTGGGCAGCTCCAGTAGGGAGAGGGCATTTTCCCGCTTGGAAAGGTGGGGTGCAGCGAGGATGTGGCAGAGGGGACGCGCTCGGCCTTTTCTAATGGCTTTCATGGGCAACTTTTCCCATCCGTTTTTATCAAACTAATTCAAACTGCTTCCAGCCCGGTTGTTGTTTTGTCTTGTTCTAAAGAAGTGTTGGTAGGATCAGATTCAGGTGAAGAGATTCTTTTTTCTTTACATTATTTCTACAGATGCGAATATTATTGTGCTGGGTTCTGTAGGAAAATCTGCCTCTCTTTTTCCCTTTTCCCTTATAGCATCTGGCTGCTGTTATTTAAGAAGTTCAGCTCTGATACTCATTAATTTACGCCCAAGTAAGATCAGATCTTGGCACAAGTAAGAGGTGTTTACACAATAATAACTCTGCCTGAGTTGACAGAGATGAATGAGATGAAATAACAGAAAATATATAATATTATACTGACTTACTAAAGAAAAAATAGAATGTATAAGCGCAAAGCTTAAAATACATGCTTTACATTTAGCCTTTTGCCTGAACATTATGAATGGTCTGCATGACTAATAGCATGTTCTACGTTGTAGTGAAACATCTGTACAGTTTAGATGAGCTACGTGTTCAAGGATTTGGTTTCCAGTTAGAGTTTTACAGTCAAAAAAGAAACATGCAGAAGGTAGTACTGGGGTTTCAAAAATATTCTGGGTTATTTATTAATTTATTTATTTTGCACGACCTGGTCTCCAAACAACCTGAGGTTTAAAGTTCACAATATTTATCTGAAAATTCTGTTTCCCTGCACGCTCTGACGATTCATAGAGTTTGATCCTCTTAAATTCTCTGTCCTAAAGACATAAAGAGAGGAAAAAAATGCGTTCCAGTAAGATGCAGCAGTGAATTCTGCATACTAAGAACAGAGATTTCCTGAAGCACATCAATGGTGCTCTCAGTTCTAAAGTCATATGCGAATTCTCTTTATTTCAAGGGTTCCTGAAGCTTGTATCCTGTGCAGATTCCAAGATTTCATTTAACTAAGATTTTTTATTTTTTGGCTAAATTTTGTCAAGAACTCATATAAAACTTCTTTTGTTTTTTTACTTTGCTTTCTCAGGGATAGGAAGAATATCTTGCAGTGTAATCTGCTATTATATAAAGGTGTGCCTTTTTTAAGTCCTTTGCAATCAGAATTGATATCAGCTTATATAATTGTAATAAAAATATTATTTATGCTATTTCTTCACCACATATTCAACTTATTTTTCGTAGGAGTCTTAGGAAAGACACTGGCACAATCTTTCGGTAAAATTTATTCTACATTCCTTCCTTTAATTCCAAGCATCCTGTGTG